CGAGTGACACCATTCACAACTCAGAAGAGAATTAAAGGGGAAAACAGTTAGGCTTAAGGACCTGAGAGTGATCAAGGTTTTTGTTAAATGGGGTGAATGTGACATCCTTCTTGGACACTGTTGGTGTCCTCTCTCCAAATAAGACAGGAATTAAATCAGATGCAGGACCCTTCTGCACACCTTTGCTCATTTGTATCAAGGCATCCTTCATCCTACGATACGTAACCTGAAAAAATGCAGTTAATATTTGCAGCAATTTTTTCCAATGAATATTAATCTAGGAGGGCATAGGAAATAGATGATTGAGTAATCCCTGCATACATGATCAACTATTAAGAACTTCTTAACCAGACTAACTATAACCTTCAAAAAAATGAAGAAAAAATGACATTCAAAGATTTGAGTTTGAATTTCAAACCTCATTTGCCAGTTTCTCTAGGCGTAGAGGACTATTTAGACCATCTTCAGGAACATCATCAAAAGCAACAGTAATTGATGAGTCCTGTTCAAGAAACACCAGCAAACCACCAGCACAAGTAAGCTCAAGAGTATGATCCTCAACAATTAAAATTATCATGACAAAAAATGCAAGCCTCCCAACATAGAATTACCTTTAACCGGTAAACTACACCTTGTCCAAGAGCAGGGGACCCCAAGTCAGCCTTATTTGGTTTTAGAACAACCACATCATGGGAGCTAAACTGAAAATTAAAAGAAGAGAAGAAAAAATATTAGGACAAACTTAAGATAGTAGGGTATAGTTTGGAGCTGGGACCCCTTCAAATGCTTGTTAAAAGTTAAAACAACCATATTAACCTTGAAGTGATTCAAACTGTAGTCTACAGTAAGAAGAACAAACATTGCAAAAATTCAAACTGAGCAAGTAGCCAGAGGGAATTATGGATTCTTTACCTTATGAGGAGGAAGGACGTCTGCTTTGGTAGATTGAAACTCAAGAAGAGTCTTTCCCATAAGTCCTGTCTATTCTCAAAACCAAAGGCAGAATAAGTTATAAGTACATTACTATTATCCTATGCTCCACCCAAGAACAAATTGTTTATTTTGACAAAATGCATTCATTTGTGAAAACGTTATTCATTGGAACATTTCCATCATTTTAGGAAAATGCTTTCTAGATATTTTATAATTATGTTTTAATGAATGCTTCAACTTACATAGTCACTACTAGAGAAGTTTTCATATCTTCTCTTAAAGAAAACATTTCTCGTAGAAAAGTAAAACCCTGTTTGTTTCGACAGAAGAAAGTTGCAGAAACTTTCTGACAGTTAAAGAAAAATCTTTTCCAACCCTCAGGTTGTGTTGAAGCCAAAAGCAAAAGACAATCAAGAAAAACATGCTCTAGAAATTATTTTCCTACAAACTTTTTCTATCGAAGCAAACTGAGGGTAAGCTTTTCTTCCTCTCTCTTTTCGGGTTGTGTCGAATTGTCCTAGAAGTGGAATGGGGATTGAAAGCAGTAACTGGGAAGCCATAGGAAAGTGGAAATCATATGAAATACAAGTACCTGAGCATCAACACACTTCAAATTGAGAATAGTAGAGCCCTTCCTTTGCGCAGTATCTAAGTTTCTGGACGACCCAGTAGTGATGGAGGCAGATATCTCAGCTTCCTGATTGCCAAAATATGATAGTTCTATAAAACTTCATTTCTCTCCGGCATTTTTACAGTCAAATTGAGTGCAAAGATACAAAGCAGGAAAAGAGCATTATAGGGAGAGAGAAAACCTTTTCCAAGTCAATAAGAGGGGCCGTGATAGAGATGAACTGTTGGAGGGTGACACTCTTCCCTCCCTCCATTGCTACTCTTGCTCTTGTTCTTGTTCACTGCTATTGCTGCTGTTTTTGCTGCTGGTCTGCTTCTGTGATTTGATAATTAGAAAGGCTGAGACAGGGATATTGACGTTGTTCGTGGTGGTGAGTGGCTCTGACGCTGCGTTTTGGTACAGGTTTTATTTTTTCCTTTTCTGTTTTCCAAATTTGATCACTTTATCATTTTTTTTTCCCCTCTAATGTAATGCAGTTATGGCTGTTAGCTGATTTTATTGACGAAATTCCTATTTAATAAATTTGTTGACAAAAATATAACTTCCTTCTTGTTCTCACAATATAAAAATATACACACCAAATGTGTGTTAAATATTCGGTTTCTTATTTGTCTAACTTTGTGCAAAAATATCTTTGAAGGAATAACTAAAAACTAAACGTTTTGGATCATTGAAATACAATGTAAGGCAGGCCCTACAAAGGTGCTCCTTAAATAAGATATTTGAGTAATTCATCAACTAAAAGCACTCCGGTTGACAAAGAGTTTGTAAAATCACCATCTTTCATTTTTGTTACAACAAGTAAGAAATAATCTTAGTCTCTCACATTCTTTCAGTTAGTAAAATACGGAATGGGAAAAATATGAATAAAATACGTACGTGTTTTATTCGGCAATATTTTGGCAAATTACAATTGATAAGTTCGGCCACTATATAATATTTTAATATGATTTTTTCCATTTTTTAAATATATATTATTTTTATTAAATAATATGAGAAATTGTGTGTATAAAACCTAAATTTTGTGTGTATAACTGAAAATTTTGTAAAAAATAAGCATATTAAACATGAAAAATACGCATACAATAAGAGTATTAAACGTGAAAATGCTAAATTCTTTATACAGGTAATAGCTCTGAAAAAGTAAAAACTCAAAAGGGGACAATAGAGACTTGGATAATGAACTAATAGTAAATGGATAATGCTCAAAATTACCCTTATCGATAAACAAAAATTGGGGAAAATAATTTTTTTTTTATATAAAAAAAGAGGACCTGCCTGGCTCCTAGCGCCCATTTCGTCACGTGTCAAAAATAGTATACCTGCCCGGCTATACTATTTTTTATATAATAAAAAACAATAGTATAGCCGAGCGGCTATACGCTTTTATAAACACAAAACACCGCTGTACAATTTTTTTTTTTTTAAAAAGGAGGACCTGCCTAGCGCCCCCTTCGCCACATGTAAAAAGTATAGCCGCGAGGCTATTTTTATTATTAAAAAAAACCGAATATAGCCGCTCGGCAATACTATTTATTTATAAATATATATTTATATATTAAAAAAAGACTCGCCTGGCGCCTAGCGCCCGCTCCGCCATGTGTCAAAAACAATATAGTCGTGCATCGTTACTATTTTTTTATTTATAATAATAAACGTAGTATTGTTGCACAGTTATACTCTTTAAGTATATTATATTCAGTAAGAGTATAAACGCCCGGCTATACTATTTATTTAAAAAAATGAAATAAAAGAAAATGACTCTTCTAGTTGCATTAGTTTATACTTTATAGATATTAATTTGCTAGTTTTGACATCTCCAAAGCAAATACTGAAGAGAGAAATTTCACAGTAAATCAATTTGAGAGTTCAATTTTTTCTTCTTCTTTTTTTGTGGGAATATTTGCCTTTGGTCTTCATCGTTCTCTTGAGTGCTACTAAATTATGTTACTGCACACATTATTTGTTGTAGAGAATTGCATGATGAGTTGGAGTGTTCTTGGTAATTGCTTCACATTTCAAACAACACTTTACATGAAGAATACTACCACCTCGCTTACTACTATACCTATAAATCTTTGTTTGAAATTGTTGTTCTGATTGGCAAAGAGTTTGCAAAATCACCATCTTTCATTTTTGTTACAACAAGTAAGAAATAATCTTAGCCTCTCGCATTCTTTCAGTTAGTAAAGTACGGAATGGGAAAATATGAATAAAATAAGTATGTGTTTTATTCAGCAATATTTTGGCAAATTACAACTGATAACTTCGGCCACTATATAATATTTTAATATTATTTTTTCAATTTTTTAAATATATAAATTACTTTTTTAATAATATGCTAAATTCTTTATATGGGTAATAGCTATGGAAATGTAAAAACTCAAAAGGGAACAATAGAGACTCGAATAATGGCCTAATAGTAATGGATAATGCTCTAAACTACCATTATCGATAAACAAAAATTGGGGAAAAATAATTTTTTAAAATTTTTTTAAAAAAGACCCTCATGGTGCTTAACGCCCACAAAAATAGTATAGCCGCACAGCTATACACTTTTTAGAAAAACAAAACACTACGTATAGCCGCGCGGCTATACTCGGATTTTTTTATAATAACAATAGTATAGTCGCACTGCTATACTGTTTTTGACACGTGGTGAAGCGGGCGCTAGGCGGGTGGTCCTTTTTTAAATTATAAATAGTATAGCCGCGCGGCTATACGCGGGGTTTTTTTTTTTAAATAAAAAGAGTATAGCCGCATGTCTATACTACGCAACGGCACCATATATTGTGATATGAAAATTTTTGCTCACGGACCGGCACCATATATTGTGATAAAATTAATCTTGAGCAATACTCCAAATTTACAATCTGACAAGAGGACATTGTTCATATATAAATGATTTAGGATGCTTGTACAAGAATTTGTACAAATATTTCTACAACTTCACATCTCCTCACATCCAAGCGCCTTAAGTAAGATGATGTGGATTCTTCTATCGTTAAAATGACATAGAGCACCATTAAGTTTAAATAAGAACAACTTTTTCCTATCGAAAAACAAGTTTTAACAAAGTTTGTATTGGACCAAATAGCTTTTGATAGAGTGGTATTTCTTTTCCTTGTATTGGAAGGATGTCCCAAAATTCAAATTCCCTCCTCTTTCATTGGTTAAAAAGAAAAATCTAGTACTTCTCTTCTCATCCCTCTAGGCTCTAGTTTCACGGTAGTGTCGCCCCCTTAGACCCTCAATTGAGGCAAGGGTCTTAAGGAGGCTTTCCGTCCCCATGAAGCTAATTCAATTCAGCAATGGCGAAAAGTATTCTTAACTCCTTTGTTATTCTCAAAGTATACAACATGTAATATTTTTGCCCTGCCAATCAATTGTGCACAAGTTTCATTGGACCTTAAATTTTAACGCAAGAAACATGACCAACAGAATGATAGAGAGCTCTATCATCACATAATATGGACCCATGGGCAATGTACATTACAATCTTGATATTTGATTTGTTTGTTTATATGAGCAATCAACATGAATCTCCACATCGACAAAAACATAGGGTTGAGCCTAAATTTGAACCTTCGAAACTAAAACATGAATCCGTCACTCCAGAAAAAATACAGAATAAACAACTAGGCAAACTATAACAGCCATTTGGCGACAACGGCATACCATCTTCTACAACAATCTATCTTCCTCCCTATGTATATAAATCTGTCTTCCCCAAAAGAATACACGAGGCCTATTCAGCTGGAGGTGAGACGTCCTTCAACCACAATCAGACCTCGTTTCAAGCAAGCACATCCAGCAAACAAAACCCCAGATTCTTCCCACAAAACCAGCCACAACATTGATACAAAAGATATTTCACAAGTCTATACTACAAGACGGAAAACAAGGGGAAAACGAAATCTCCATCCTTAATCCCTGCCAATGGATGAATGTCTCTGGGCACCAGGTGGTGCAGTTGGCCTTGGGAAGTGATAATCAAACTGCGCACCTGCAATTTGGGGGGCTTCCACATAGGGGCTCTGTGACACCTAATATTTTTTCAAAAAAGTTACTTTAAAAGAAAAAAAAATGCATTCAACAAAACAAATGTGTGAGGGTTTCTACTTCCTGCCCAGACTCCTCAACTCCCTCCGTTGCCAACAAGAATAGGGAAGACCGCAAAGAAATGTTTTGCTCTTTGTTACAGTGATTTTCCTTTGTATGGCCAGGTTGGAAAGCTACTTGGGAGGTTTGGTTTGGCTTCTTGCTGGCCGTGTTTTGGAATTGTCTTTGTTTTCAAAGTAGTCTGGATTGTTAATTTGTTGTGGTAGTAATAGAATTTTGTTTCTTGTAAAAATAAAAATAAAAAACAAAAAGTTGACAATTAATAAATCCATTAGCTTAACCAAGGTATTTAAAGGTCATTTCACTTTTGTTATCATAAAAAAATACAATAAAATAAAAAAGAGCTGAATTTACCAGAATTTAGAGTAGCTTTTACTTTTTGGGAGCATTGACACTGGTTATAATCTTGACGTTAGTCAAATAGTTTTTTTTGTCCCTATTTGCCCATCTGTTCAATGGCATCAAATGAGTCAATACTCTTCTAAATGTTTTCTTTTTACCGGGCAAGTAACACCTTGTTAGGAATCTATTTATATTAAAAGAGTAAGTCATAATGCATTTTAATACAAACGAAGGCAAATGGGTAATCTCTATCTTTAAAAAATGCTTATAGACCAGTCATGTCCCAAAAACTAGAAAACACCAAATGTTAAAAACTTATGCATTCTGCGCGGTAGTGGAATGCCGTTTTATGAAATCCTAGAAAGGATCTATACATTCAGTCCACCAAAAAACAAGGGATCTACAAATAAAATGAGTTTATTAAAAGAAAAGATACCTGTGATGCAAATACAGTATAAGATGGCTCTTCAGGATTTGAGGCCTTAGGTGTTGTTATAGGAGAACAAGCATCATAGCGCGATTCACTTCCATTCAGTATATGAACTCCACTATTTTGGGCACTTTCACCCTCATTCCCACTGGTTGACTTAGTTCTCTATATAAATGCCATAGCTTCCAAATGTATTAGGCAATCTATGGAGAATCTTTATTAATATAGCTACATAAAATCAGAAAATAGTTAGGTTAAGAACACAATACCTGGAAGATTTTTCCAAGAGTTTTCAAGCCCTTTGCTCGTGCACGGAGTTCCTCTTTCTTGGCATTGTTGTCTTGAAGAACCTAAGATCAAATGAAAACTTACAATCTAAACAAGATTTCCATTCATGTTTCAGACAACTACCAAATAAAATGGTGGGGCAGAAAAACAACCATCTGACAAACACGAGAAAGAGTGGCCTCAATATCAGCCACATTAAGCTTCCACAGGGAATCAATCATCAACTTCTTGTTAGATGACATGTATTCTTCAAGCTCTTCCTCAGTGTAATTTCCTTCTGCACTTAGCTGCTTTTTCATGTCTTCCTGCAGCTGGATCAAAGCAATTGCACCTGAAATAAATAATAGTTCGTTAACCAATACGCACATTAGCTTAGTCAGCAAACTTGTGTGCATTTGTGAGAATTTATACCTTACATATGCCAAAAACAGACAGAAAAAAAAACACAAATATTCCTTATCCTGTCAATATCTGAACAAATAAGGATGAACTCGATTGGACCCTATACTGTGGGTCGGATCAGCCCCCATACCCCTGGTTAGGCCCATAGGTCAATTAATCATTGGAGCCAACAATTACAGTCACCATGAGAACATAGCCTTAGGACATGACTGGCGATATTGAATCCAGAAAGATCCACTAACCTGTTGCTGCTGTTACTTGGGATTTAATGAAATGCCCTTTATTTCTAAACCACTCTGCAATAAATGGGACTCCCAAATATAATGCTTTCTTCCCTAGCTCTTTTGCTGATTGTCTGGCATATATGTAGCCAATTGTATTCAACATATCAACACCGTAAGCTGTAGAAAACAGACCATATCACTTAAAATTATATACAAAAGCTTAGGAAATAATCATAGAAACAGCTCCATCAGATATTAATCACATTAAGCATATCGTAAAATCAGTTCCTACACCTTGAGCAATGAACTACTGCTCAGCAATTTTTTAAACTTCAAAAGGGAATGAACTGTTGGGCATAGTTTGGATGATAGTCCCTATTAAACGTGTCACAGCATAATATTCTATTGAAATTGGATGCAGTAATAGTATTTATTTGACTTTACAGGAATGCCATCCATGATGAAATCATAAAATGAGTAGCTAAATTACAAGCAAACAAAATTTACAATTATAATTTTATTGACTTGTAAGTTACCTACTGGCTCAGTAGAAGTCTGAACTAAATATTAAAATGTTCAGAGAAAGAACACATCAATGTAGGCCCTACATGCCAATTCATCATTATGAGTGTTTTCAGGATCTCATCTTGTATGGTCCCAAACAATATTACAAGTACCTAGCTTATTCTTCAGTTATTCTTTAATCCAAGAGAATAGATATCAGCCAAATCTAATCAACTTTTAAACAAGGGCAGACCTAAAAGCAGTTGAAAGAGGTAACAATTTTTCTGTTCTCTCACCCAAAAGTACCACATGCAGGGATCAATTACCTGCATTGGAAAGCCTCGCAACTTCAGCTTCAGCATGACTAACAAAGTCCTCTTTGTTTCCTTGCACGTATTGGTTGAGTCGATTTTTCAGTGTTTCTGCAAGTTTTTCCTCTCTTTCCCTTTGAACAACCTGTAATAGATGGATATTTTCACACAGAAACCACTGTGATATATAACCATTCTTGAAAGACAAAGACTTGGCAGAACTACAAAAATGCAGGTCTTTTTTTGGTGAACGTGGGACTGAAAAGCCCAAACAAATATGCATTTCAGAAAACAAACGATATGACGAACTTTATCGTACCAATATATTAAATGCATTGCTCCCAAATTTAATTCCTAACCAAGTTGGTCTCATTGCATCACAGAAAATTATAGGTAACTGGGTTAGTGAGGATAAATAAACAAAACAGTACCCGCATTTTCTCTTGCAGCTTTTTGGGATCGAACTGCTCCCCTTCTGAGAAAATATCTAGTGAAGCCATTGATGCCATGGCTAGCTGGCCAATATATTCCTCAAAAAGCTCACTACCAAAAAGCATAGCGAAGATTGCTGCAGGATCAATAATTGAGTCGCTGAAAGAAAGGGAACCATTAAAAAAATGTCAGAAACATGCAACTATATGTTAAGCTAACACACACATACACTGTGACAAATGCAGGCAACCTATGAGGTGCGTGTCAGACACCTTTCAATCTTAGAATTCAGAAATTCACAGATTAAGAGCAAGAAACTAACGTTGAGATCCCTGATTTTCCAAAAGCATCATATGCTTGGCGTTGGCCTGGGTCACTTAAGACTTGGTAAGCTTCTCCCAAAACCTGAATCCAATTAATCAACACAGTTGGTAAGCCTCTACCAGAACAATAAAAGAAACTATCTTCACGAAAAAGTGTTAGCGAACCCAGCAAATTAAGTAACATCAAGAACTTCTAGGTTCTAATGTGCAAGTTAATGGCAGCACATACCTAGTCTTGATGTTAGAAATACATTGTAGTTGACATAATTGATAATTTGATGACCAGTAAATAGTTTTACCTGAAAATTCTGTGCTGCAAGAGGATCATTTGGGTTTTTATCTGGATGAACCTGCCTTGCCTGCAAGCCACACAAAAGTTTTAATTAAATTAAAATTTGCATATTTGTTAATGCAGTAAGTGTTCATATGCAAAATGATTCATAAATGGATGGATCTACTATGATTATTGTAGAATCAATTGAGGAACAAGCAAATGAAATAAGCATCAAAATTCTAATCATCCCTAATCAAATTTAGGGCTAACAATTCTCTCTCAGCTTCTGTGAACAATCAAACTAGAAAGACGAAGAGGCAAGTGAAGATTACCTTGATGTAATAAGCTTTTTTGATCTCGGCCTCGGTAGCCGTTGGGCTCACTCCAAGAACATCGTAATACTCCGTCTCCTTCACCATTTTTTTTTCTTCTTCCGATCGGTCAAATCTTTGCTTCGCAGTTCGCAGAGGCAACGGGGGAGGGAGGGAGGAACCAAAATAATAAAAATAAAATACAAAAAATAAACAGGAAAAAGAAGATAAGAGAAAATATTCAAAATAATAAAAAAGATTCCCCTACGGACCACTCGGGCTCGGGTCGGGACGCGTTGTTTCTAATTCTCCCTCTTTTTGTACCAAAAAATAAAAATAAAAATGAATTAAATTGATTTATACAAAGACCTTGGGCAGCGTTGACATTGACCTGCTTATTAGTTAAGTTACCAAGTTAGGGTCATGATTTACTCGTTTTATTGGATTGGAAAGTCCTGTCCAATGAAGACCTACTCGCTTTTGATGTTGGCCGGCGAAAATTCTTTGATGTTACTTTCATATCAGTGTTATTAATTCACTCATTTTTTATATCTAAGACATCAATTTCAACATTCACATATTCCATAATTCATGAATTAACAACACTATATAATAGTATGACGGTCGCATTTAATAATTTTTCATAACTAAGAGCCTGAGATAGAGCATGACTAATCAATTAAAATGGACTCAGTGTCCTGTTTTATGCTTGATGAACTTAGAAATGTTGGAATCATAGTCTAAAATATCGATAATATCGACGAAATATTGAGAATATTATCGTTTTTTAGGGTCAAGAATATTTTGGAACGTATTCATACACATATCGTATAAATATCGATAATATCGGAAAATATCGACGTCGATAATTTCTCTCACACTTCAGCAATTTTTGGCTAAAATATTGCTAAAATATCGATAATATCGAGATGATGAAGTCAATGAAAAATTTGTAGAGTTATTTACACTAACACCCCCTGAGGTTTCTTGTATTTTCACAAAACCCCCTCAGATCTCAAAAATTACACGAACACCCTTTGAGGTTTCAGTTTTTCGTTGATTGTTTGTTTAAAAATTAATGAATAATCTTTATTAAATTGGACAACAGTTCAAATATTGTGATGAATAAGTCCCTTCTACAAGGGTTAGACTTTATAAAATTGGACTAGGCTAAGTCTAGTCATTGTCCAATCCCAACAACCATACAAGTTTATTAATAATTCAGTTTCAATTTAAGTCTTATTAATCCCATTTGGTGAGCCCAATTCATCTCATTTCATAACCCATGACTCATGAATGAGTCATACCAGGAAGAGTGGTTAACAATAAAAGCCATCCGCTCCTTTCCTTTACTATATGATCTATCCGTCTCAAGTCCCCCTTTTGGGAATGGTCAATTCAATATTTATATATCCACTATTCTACAAGGGCCTTTTCTTTTCTTCTTCTTTTTTGGGCTACTCCGGTTGCTTCCTAAGGCTCGTTGTGTTTTCTCACATGTTTTCATTTATGCATGTTGTGTTTAGTTTTGATTTTAGACAATTATTATCAAGTAATTAAGGTTTGGTTTATGTGGTCAATATTGGTATTAGACATGGAAGTATGTTGGAGATTGTGCATAAAGATATA